ACTCCTCACTCATTCATTCACTCATTCATTCACTCCTCATTCACTCACTCACTCACAAGAGAAGCTATGGTAGCACGATACAATGGAAGAAAACAAGCTGTCTGGCACTCTTGGACAAAATCTTGACCCTTACCCAGCTTTAGGTTGAGTGATGTGCTAGTTTAGAATGAATTAGCACCTTAGGGCTCTCTAGGACTTATGCTCTAATCCTTACAGCAACCCTGAGAGGTAGAAGCCCCATGGTTATTGCCTCCACTTTGGACAAGGGAAAACAGAGGCGGAGAGGGTCAATACTTTAGTGGAGTTCTCTGAGCCAGAACCTAGACAGTTCCTGTGTCCATTCTCCGATCCGGACTTTTCAGATGCTCTGAGGAGGAGGCAGGAGTTTATAGATCATGGGTCATACATAGTAAGCTGCCAATAACGACCCATCTTGTTCCTTTCCCTGGGGAGCATGGGGTCTTTGGGGTGCTCTAGATCTGGGAGAAGGAGCCAGTGATGTCAGGGGTGTTGGGGAGCGTGAGTAGCTCAGGGACAGTGGGGAGTGCTTTCTGCTCACTCCTGATCTGCAGGACCCCCCCACCCACCCACACACACTAGTCCTTGTATTGGGCATCTTCTCACCCATCTTTTGTCCACTTAAATTTCCTTTGATCTACTGAATGCATTCTCAACTTTTTAAGCCCCTCCTGGAGTTCCCAGACAAGGTGGGTGGAGGGGCAGACACTAGGAATTAACCTGGCCCGTGGATGGTTTTTCTGAAGTGAGGTACCTCGGATGAGTGCACATCTGCTGGCTTTGGGTGAGCCATCAGCCAGGTTAACTGTTGGCACCACCAGAAGCTCTAACCCGAGGGTCCCATTGAACAAAGACAGAGGCGCCTCTGGAAGCTTCAATGGGATAGGGCTTTGGTCAGGGGCAAGGAGAGGCAGCGAGGATACACTGCCGTGTCGAATTTGTCAGAGCTGGACCACGTGTCTGGGTCTCTCACATAGGACTGGTGTGACTTTGGACATGCTAGTTCGGTGGCCTACGTCTTAACATGCAAAGCAGGAGCAATCATTGTGAGAATTAACAGAACCAGAAAAGCTTGTTCTTGAGCCTGGCACATAAGTTGCTCAGAACCTGAGTGGGCTCCTCCTGAGTGCCCTCTGTGGGCACCCACCGAGGTGGGATCGTACAGTTATGGGCATACCTGGTAGTATGGGTTCACTTTAGGGAGAAAAGCCGGTGCTGGGCAAAGGCTAGCTTAACGTCCTTCAACGAAGGGACCAGCCCAGATTCTGAAAGGCCGGTACCGTCCATCTGTGGAGGCCGGGCCTGTGGTACCTGGTGGGACCTTGGAGTTTGACACCTGGACCAGCTTGCCAGGGCTTCCACCTCACTGGGCTCGACCAGCTTCAAGAGAGATGGCCAAGACTGAGCCTAATAAGATGGTAGGAGTTCACTTAGGTGGACAGTGTTTTGTTTGTAGTTTTTAACTGTTGTTGTGAATTTTATGATGGTTTACAAAGCAAATCATCAGCAATGTGGCCCTTCAGAGTTTACAATGCATCTGAGACCTTGTGTGGTCTAGATGACATCCTTGGGATTATTATTATTTTTCTAACCAACCTATTTTACGGAAAAGCACACTGAGGTTCAGAGCTCAGATTGCCCTGAATCATGTTGTCAAGATTCAATCCCAAGCTACAGGCTGTCTGAGTGGCCTGCCCCTTTTGAGTCAGAACCAAGCAGCTCTCTTGGTCCTTCTCTGAGAGCGCTGTGTACAGGTGCTCATCTTGCTTCGTGACCTGCATTGAGCACTGGGATCTGGGGTGGGGCCATCGAGCCCCTTGGGGGATCTCCATCATTCTTCAGTAGGAGCCCTGTGCAAAACTAGTGGCCTGCTAGGCCCAGGGGCCCAGGGAGCTGGAGTACTGGGGAAGCAGGGAGCACTACGGCTTTGAGTCCTTCGGGCTAGAGAGACTTTGCCCCTAGTCCAGCTCTGCGCATACCAACTGCATGCCTCTGGGCAAGCAGCTTCACCTCTTCGCACCTCAGCGACCTTCTTCATGAGTCTGCGTGGGACCATCATTCTTGTGAGGTCAGATGGAAGTGGTCAGGCACCCGCTGGCACACAGGAGGGACCTATGTCACAAGAGCTGTGTGATTGTGATTTTTTTAAAGAGTGCTGTGCTTGGTGAGGTAGGTACATTTGCGTTAAAACATGACGGCATCCTTTCCTCACTGGGAAACCTGGGCAAGGAACCAACCGCCGTGGAGTCTGTTTCCACAGGTGTAAGGTGAGCGAAGCTGGGACATCAGAAATGGATATGAAAGAGGTGTGTGTCGAACTGTAACAGAGGTGACGTCCATTCGGTATTCTACAAAGGACCAAGACGGATAGGCAGTTGGAAAATATTGCCTTGGTAGAAACTGGAGATCTCACGAAATAACTTTGCCAGATGAACTACAATTCATCGCAAATGCCCTTTTTTCATAAGCAGTAACTATACACACGGGCCTCGCCAGATGGGAGGCGCAGGAGTCCAGTCAAGAGTCTCTGGGGAAAGAGAGGGTGGAGACACGTCATATCATCAGTCAGAATGAGACCGGGGTCAGCGGTAGAACAGATCACTGGTTGCTCCCATTTAAATTCAAGTTGAAGCTGAAGACAAGGAAACCGCGTCCACGAGAGGAAAGACAACACCCTTGAGCATATCCCATCTGACTTCTGAGACCATCTCAAGAACAGATTTGAGGAATGGAATGCTAATGACTGGAGACCAGCAACGTGATGGGGCGAGATCGTACATGAAGAAAACGAGCGGTCATTACAAAATATTTGTAAGAAAGGCCAAGATGGATGTCAACTGAGATTCTGAAACGTGGTCTTGCATGTAGCGTGGCTACGTTAAGCTGAAGCAACAGTTGTAGGGAAAGAGATCTCAAAGGAGGCTCCAGAAGACAGAGGTTTGATAACGACCACAAAGACCTGAGGGCAGAAAACGGAGAGAGAGGAACACGCTAGGCATTTTTCACCTGGAAAGAACTGAAGAGAAAAATTCAAGCCTCAATTTGAAATATTGAAGGATTCTATGGGCAACATATTGAACTTTGCAGGAAACATCGAAAGAAGATTGGAGTCACTGTCCCAAAAAGACTGGTCCACATTCAGCCATTTCTGGAGGGAGCATATGGTCAAGAGCCAATGGTATCAAAGGGAGAACTCCAAGCTGAACCGAAGGCATTGGCAAAAACTAGCCTCCTAGACTTGGCAGGACACCACTCAAGACATTGTGACAAAGAAATGCAATGCTGTTAATGCTCACTTGTCTAGTCTAAGAAACACCTGGCTAACTGGCTGGAAAAGATCTATATTTGTGCCCATTCCAATCAGAGGTGATC